CAAATTAATTTTATAATAATTTACCCCATAATTTTAAGACATAAAGTGAATACATATATAAAATAAAATTCAAAAATTCAAAACCTAAAACATACCAAACGGAGCCTAACTTAATCAAACCCTTGTTGGTCTCTTTACAACTCATCATTAATTATGGCTTTATTTAGTATAATTTTAGTTTTGAATTTTAAATTTTAAATTTTTATATTTTTAGTAATTGGTATTATATTTAAATTAAATTTTATAATTAATTTTAATTTTTAAATAAAATAATAAATACTGAATATATATATATAAAACTCAAAACTAAAATCTGTATGAAACGTAAACTATTATGCTCAGTTATTAAATGCGGAGAGGCACCAACGAGGGGTTGGATCAAGTAGTAAGCGGCTTGTTCCAGTTTAAGTAAGGCTTCGAGTTCGAGACCTTGTGAACGCAGCAGCCTTCGCTGGGAGACTCACCCACCATTTTCAGGTGCGCGACGCGGATCCGATCCGGATTAATCGGGACGAAGCCCCGGATACCGAACAGAAACCGAAAAAAAAAAAAAAATGCGGAGAGGCAAAGGGATTGGAGTTGAACATATAAGTTAATTTCTTTCGGGTCAGCGACATTAAAATCGAAAGTCCATAAAACAAAGCCCAAATCCAACTAAAGGATTCAAAATCCGAATCTTAAAGGGCTGTGGGCTCAAGCCCGAGGTATTTATTTCAAATCCAATGATTCTCGGGGAACGTGCATCCTTGGTATGTCACACGAAAATCTGCAATACTGAACCAACGCCCTAAGTTTGGATTGTTTGTTTGTTTGCTTCTTCTTCTTCTTCTTCAAATATTTTTTTTTTTTAATTTTTAACTTTTTATGATGTGTGCTTAAAGGGTTGTCCGGAATGAAACAACCTTTCGGAGTCAATTGGTTCACCACCTAAGGCTAAGTGTTTGAACTCAAATAGGTTGAGAGTTCTACTTCCATTTATTTTTTGAAAAAAAAAATTTCTTATCCCCAAATTTTATAATGTTCAAAAAAAGGGTTCTCTGGAGTAATGATTTAAAATTAATAATTTATGATTTTATTTAATTTAATGAATAAAAATATTTTAATTAATTAATAATTATTATTATTAATAATCAAATTAAATAAAATTATTAATTGTTAATTTCAAACTATTATACCGAATAACTTTTAAATTTATAGATTATACTCTTTCTTTTAAAAAAAAAATAATAATAAGTAGATGAATGAAAT